ACCCAATTGCATCTGCACAGGTGATCACTCAACTGGAACCCAGACAATGTGTGCTGAATGTCTGGGGTGTACACAAGCCACTGTTAGCTGGTGGGTTGATGGCCTGCCCTTTAGATACAGATATACCCATGTTATTTGTGTCACAGCTCTGACCAGAAAGGTTCTAGTGATGTAATCTATAGGTTCGAGTCTCATTCTAGAGACCTGAGCAAATAGCTCAGTGCTGAGGGAATGCTTCACTGTCAGACACACCATTCAGATGAGATTTTAAAGGGATGCTCCATCTGATATCCTAAGAAGATATAGAGGATCACAGATTACTTTATTTTAAATAAACAATGGGGAAGTTCTCACAAGTGTCCTGGTCAATATTTATTCCTCAATTTTTTTTTGACTCCTACAGCACGGAGACTGGCCCTTCAGCCCAAAACTGGTCCATCCACACTAACCCCATTTCCCTGTACGTGGCCCATTTCAAGTTTCACAATATCCTTCCTATAGCAGGGAGATTAGAATTGAAAACAGTGTTCCAAAAGTGTCCTAACCAATGTCCTGTCCAGCTGCAACATGACCTCCCAACTCTTATACTCAATGCACTGACCAAGAAAGGCAAGCATACCAAACACTTTCTTCACTATCCTATCTACCTGCGACTCCACTTTCAAGGATCTATAAACGTGCACTCCAAGGTGTTTTTGTCCAGCATCACTCCCCAAGATCTTACCATTGAGTGTGTAAGTCCTGCCCTGATTTGCCTTTCCAAAATGCATCAGCTCACATCTTTCTAAATTCAACTCTTTGTGCCGCTCCTCAGCCCACTGGCCCATCTGCTCAAGATCCTGTTGTGCTCTGAGCTAACCTTTTTCGCTCTCCACTACACCTCCAATTTTAGTGTCACCTGCAAACTTGCTAACCATACCTCCTATGTTCACATCCAAATCGTTTACATAAATGACGCAAAGCAGTGGGCCCAGCACCGAACATTGTGACAATTATCTGATTTGCAATGCAGAGTGATACCAACGTCGTGAGTTGAATTCTCAAACAGGCTGAGGTTACCGTGAAAGTTACCATCTCATCCGCAATCTCTCCACTTGCCTGAAGTTTGCCCTCAGGTTAAACCATCACCAATCATCACCCTCTGAAAGAGCAGCTCTAAGGCCTGGAAGGATTATGGTGATGCTTGTAAGTACCTTACTTTTATTATAGTATCAAGCACAAATTGGCCATTGGATTTCCTATGTGACTACACATCAAAAATATACTTAAAACAAAAAAAAATGCTGGAAATCACAACGGGCCAGGCAGTATCCATGGATTTCTAGCATTTGTTTTTTCAGTACAGATTCCAGCATCTGCAGTAATTTGCTCCTGCTTGAAAAATATACTTCTTTGAAAAAAAACCCAAAAGAACTGCGGATGCTGTAAATCAGGAACAAAAACGGAAGTTGCTGGAAAAGCTCAGCAGGTCTGGCACATCTGTGAAGAAAAAAAATCAGAGTTAATGTTTTGGGTCCGGTGACCCTTCCTCAGAGCTCCTTTGAACGTTTGGAATGTAAGGCACATTGGGATCTCCTGCCATTGCGTAACATGATACAGGATTGTAGATTCCATTCTCTGCTCAATTAGACTTCGATGGTGGTGCACATAGCCTCTAATTCAGGATGCTGGGTGGGTGATTTGGGGATATTTGTTTGAATCTCAGCACGGCAGCTATTGGAATTTAAAGTCAATTAATAATTCTGAAATATGAAGCTAGTTTTTGTAACAGTGTTTGTGGAACTATCATTGATTGCCGTAAAAGCCCATCTGGTTCACTCGTGACTTTTAGAGAAAGGAATCTGCCATCCTTGTCTCATGAGGTGGCACGTTGGCTCAGTGATTAGCACTGCTGTCTCACAGCACCCAGGTCCCATGTTCCATTCCCCTCTTGGGTGACTGTTTATGTGGAGATTACATATTCTCCCTGTGTCTGTATAGGTTTCCTCCCACAATCCAAACATGTGCAGGTTCAGTGGATTGGCCATGCTAAATGCAAGTTTACAGGGGTGGGGTATAGGTGGGACTGGAGTGGACTTGATGGGCCAAATGGCCTGCTTTCACACTGTAGGGGTTCTACATTTCTGATCCAGTCTGGCCTACACGTGACTCCAGGTCTTTAACTGCACTTTGAATTGATTTGGCAAGTACCTCAGTTCAAAGGGGCAATTAGGGATGGTCCTGCATGTGGTACCCAACCATCTTGTGAAACTAAAAGAATTAAATAAAATTCAGGGGTTGTAAGTCTGGACCCCAAATATTAATTTCCCTTTCTTGGTCTTAATTGACGTGTAGGAATTAATATGGCCTTGATTGATATGTCTGTAACTAGGGGTTACAATTTCAAGATATTTACCAAGAGAGCTAACAGTGAGATGAGAAGCGGCTTCTTTACTCAGAGAGTTGTTAGGATTTAGAATGCACTGCCTCTGAAAGTAGTGGAGGCGGATTCCAAAGGAGGTTTCACAAGAGAGCTGGATATATATTTGAAAATGATGAATATAGATGGTCACGGACATAGGGCTGGAGTGTGGGACTAGCTGGGTAGCTCTTTCAGGAGCCAATACAGACATGATGAGTAGTATGGCCTCCTTCTGTACTGTAAAATTCTATGACCCTGTGGTAGTTCAGCCTTGCATTGTCTTGGGAGCAGGCAGAAAGTAAGTTTTTAAGCTGATGGTCTATCAATCAAAGGCATGATTTTTAATTCACTCATGGGATATGAGAGTAGCTGGCTAGTCCAACATTTATTGCCCAAAGGACCATTAAGATTGAACCACATTGCTGTGGGTCTGGAGTCACATGTAGGCCAGACCAGGTAAGGATGGCAGTTTCCTTCCCTGAAGGTAGTGAACCAGATGGGTTTTTACAACAATCGGCTAGCTTTTTTTTAAATTTTTTAAAATTTAAAATGTATTTAAACTTCACCACCTGGCATGATGGGATTTAAAATCAGGTCCTGAGAACATTAGTTTGGAGTAGCAGTTTATTAGTCCAGTGACAACACGAGTACAACACCACATTCCCTCGCTGCCTTGTTTAAATTATAGCCCTGACTATCCAGCATTCTAGATGAAATGGCCAAATACTAAAGGCATATCAGAAGTCTTTTAGAAAAACTGGAACTGTTGCGACCACAGACCTGTTTAACAGATTTGCCGAGACCTGGTCAGCCCTGACTTGGCCGTCTCACTCTAAAGGATGAGAGGCATAGATGGAGTGGATAGTCAGAGACTTTTTCACAGGGTGGAAATGACTAATACAGGGGGGCATAATTTTAAAGTGTTTGGAGGAAGGTATAGGGGAGATGTCAGAGGTAGGTCATTCACACAGAGAGTGGTGGGCGTGTGGAATGCGCTGCCAGCGGTGGTAGTGGAGTCAGATACTTCAGAGACTTTTAAGCGACTCTTGGATAGGCACATGGAGGATAATGAAATGTAGGGTATGCAGGGTAGTTTGATCTTAGTAGGATAATAGGTCGGCACAACATTGTGGGCCGAAGGACCTGTACTGTGCTGTACTGTTCTATGTTCTAAAGCATCAGTACACTGTCATATTATATCCAGTGATAATTCCAGGTAAAGATAAACTATTTCCGCAGGTTGGGAATTCTAGAACTAGGAGCCATAGTCTGAGAATTAGAGCCAGACCATTTAAGAGAGATTTTAGGGAGCACTTCTATACACAAAGGTCGGTAGTGGTTTAGAACTCTCTTCTAGAAACAGCAGTGGATGCTGGATCAGTTGTTGGTTACAAATCTGAGATAGATTTTTTTTTGTTAAGCTAAGTATTATAGAATCCCCACAGTGTGGAAGCAGACCATTCAGCTCATCACTGACCTTCTAAAGAACATCCCACCTAGGCCCACCTGCCTACCCTTTCTCTGGGACCCTGCATTTCCCATGGCTAATCCACCTAACCTGCATATCTTTGGACTGTGGGAGGAAACCAGAGCACACAGAGGGGACCAAGATGTGCAAACTCCACACAGACAGTTCCCCCAGTGTGGAATCGAACCTGGGCGTGTGGCACTGTAATACAACAAAGCTAACCACTGAGCCACCATGCCACCCTGAAGGGATCAAGGTATTAAGGTATATGGAGTTCGGCCACAAATCAGCCATGATCTCACTGAATAGCGGAATTAGCTCAATGGGCTGAATGGCCTACTCCTTTAGTTGTGTTCTACGGTATGGCACTTTATTACTGTTTGTTGAGTGCTAGCTGAGCAGGCTGTACAGCAGCAGAGAGACTCACGACGTCTCTAAGGGACGTTTGCCCTATTTTCTTCACCAGTGAATCACTGGTCCTTTGAAGCTCAGCTCCTGCTATTCCTGCCTGAACCATCAATATTTAAACTTGGGTGAGCTAAACAGACCATGGCTGGCACCTCCCCTCTACATCTGCAGCCTGAATTCTCTATTCCCCAGTCTGCCAGTTGGTGCATTTAAATCACACACAACTTCCGACAGAATTTCTCCGCTCCACGTTCTCTCAGTCATCGTTGAAGACAGTGAGGCGAGTGCAGGAGGCAGTTGAAAAGATGTGCACGGGATCTTGGGCTTCATAATGAGAGGTGGGCTCCCTGTTCGGGGTGAGCCTTCTCCCCATGGAGCACCAACAGGTTTTTCTTTTCGATGAGGGAACCATAGAAAATAGGAGCAGGAGGTGGCCATTCGGCCCTTTGAGCATGCTCTGTCATTCAATATGATCATGGTCAATCCTTCAACTCAGTCTCCTGTTTCCCACATTCTCCCCTGACCTTTGGTCCCTTTAACCCTAAGAATTGAATCTAATTTCTTGTTGAGAACATTCAATGTTTTGGCCTCAACCTCTTTCTGTGGCAGAGAATTCCAAAGGCTCACTACTCTCTAGAAATTCCTCCTCATCTCAGACCTAAGAGGCCTACGCTGTATTCTTACACTGTAGCCCCTGGTTCTCGAATTCGCAGTAATCGGCAACATCCTTTCTGAGTTTCTCCCTGTCTAGTCCTGTTAGAATTTTATTGGTTTCTATAAGAGTCCCCCTTCATTCTACCAAACTCCAGTCTTCCTTCATACATCAGTCTTGTCATCCCCAGGAATCAGTCTGGTAAACTTTCTGTCCATAATCAGAAGATCCTTCCTCTGCTAAAGGGCCCTAAACTGCGCACAATACTCCAGGTGTGGTCTTACCAAGGCCTTGTACAATCGATGAGGGAAGTTCTCAGGGTTTTCATCAGGGAGTCAGAGCTACTGGCCAATCAGAGGCTGGCATCTCTGTAGTACTGGAAACACCACCAAGGACAGGTGGTCACAACTGGTAATGCAGAAAACCAAGGACGAAGGGCAGCCACGGATATCTTGTGTCCAATTCTGAAGGGGAGTCATTCAGCCTTGTTGAACAGATGGTCTCTTGGGTTCCTTAATGGAGTGTAGGGTCTTACATGTGGATAGAATGAATGTGCCAGGATACGGACATAAAGAAGAAAATTGGCACCAGGTAATGATCCTCATTTTGAACAGCCAGTGCAGGTATGATGGGCTGAATGGCTTCCTTCTGCACTGTAACACTTCTGTGATAGTAGCGTTGCCAATCAGCGTTTGAATCTCAGTCATCAGCAGTGAACAATGTCACCCAGTAGTCCCACTCCTGGTCAGGAGTCAGCCACCCACGTTTAAAAGTATCCATATGATGGTGTCAGGTGACAGAAGGATTGAGTTCATTGATGACATGTTTCAGTATTAAATAGCCAAGCTCTCACTAATGAGTCAGAAGGTCATAGGCTCCAGCCCCATTCCACTTGAATATAAAATCCAGAGTGGTAGCAAGGGAGTGCTGCATTGTCATAAGTGCCATCTTTTGAATGAATTTGGTAATTATTTGCTCTGTCAGGTGGGCAAAAAGGATCCCAAAGCACAATTGCAAAGACGAGCAGACAAGGTCCCCCTGTTGTCCCAGATAATCCACACTGCTAAAAAGACATCACTGAAAGGTTTATCTTGTCATTTTCACATGGCTGTGTGTGCAAGCTTGCTCTGCACAAACTGAATGCTATGGTGTCCTGCACTTACAATAATGACGAAACCCCGGGAGTAGTTCATTGACGTTAAATTATTTTGGAATATCCTGAAAGGCGCTATATATGTGCAAGTACTTTCACTTTATTTCTTTCAGAATCATTGTTGAACCCTCACGTGTGATAAATCCCACACCAACAACTTTCTGGGTCTCGACATTATATAACTGGACAATTAATACAATGGCTACAATGACAGGGGAGAGGCTGGGACATCTGCAGAGAGTAAAATCTTCTCTATAACATAACCAATATCAATAAGGCACAAGTCAGAAGTATGATGGAACATGCTGCACTTGGCTGGATCAGTGCAGTTCCAACAACTCTCAAGAGACTGAAAATCATCCAGGACAAAGCAGCCCATCCATCACCATAATTCCCTCCATCACTGACGCACTGTGGCAACAAATGTGTTCAAGTTATAGTGCAGTAACTCACCAAAGCTTCTACAACATCGCTTTCTAAAACAGCAACAGCTCCCGCCTAGAAGGACAAGGGTAAAAGATGCATGGGAACATCGACAACCGCACGTTCCTCTCCAAGTCACGCACCATCCTGACTTGGAAATATGTCACCGCTCCTGCACTGTCGCCGGGCCAACATCTGGAACTTGGGGCCAACATCTGGAACTTGTTGCCATGGAAAATACTTTCAAGGGCTCAGGTGACCACCATCTTCTCAAGAGGAATTAAGAATGGGCAATAACTGTTGGCCTTAACATTGGTGCCAAATCAAGTCCATAGAACTGAGAAGAATGGTCTCACTTGGTTCACATGCCAAAGATTTTCTGGCATTCATCAAACCAAAAACCCAGCAAGAGTCAGTGTATTCAGCAGAAGATGGGAGTGGTCAAAGGACACCTCCTATACTTACACTGAGCAAAGTAACGTTTAACACATTTACAAAAATGATCAGGTTTTGGCCTATTGCAGATATTGAGAATTAAAATGTTCTGCACAATATTATCACATTCAAAAGAACTCCCATTGTTTGTCATTTCAGTGAAAGCCTAAACCTACTTAAAAGAAATGGAATTAACACAGTTTGGAAAATGGCTGGAAAAGCATTTTTTAACTGTGTTCATTACTATGATTTCACTGTGTGATTTCAGCCATTTAGTTTTTTCCACTTCCTGCATGAGAAAAATCCAGAAGGAAATATTCCCAGATTTATTGTCAAAACTGCTGCCACGTATGAACTAAAGTACAGTGTGTGACAGTTGCCTCGGCTTTGAGAGACTCTGATGGGAGCAGGTGGAGGTTCAGTTGAGATGCTGAAGACAGCACACAAGCTTCCTTAATAGCCAGCTTACTTGATCCTCCAAGCAACACTGTGGAGTCTGCAGATTACACAATGCAATGATCAGCCATCTCAGAGCCCCCTGAACTGGATCAAAGTTACAAACGTACAAATCAGGAACAGGAGTGGGCCCTCAAGTCTCTTCCAACATTCACTGATGATCCTATTATTCCACATATTCCCAATAACCCAATTGCTTATCAAGAACCTGCCCACCTCTGCTCAAAAAATATTTAAGGACTCTGCCTTTCAAGGATGAGAGTCCCAAAGACTCACTACCCCATGCGAGAAAACGGTTTTCCATGACTCTGTCTTGAACAGGCAATCTCCTGTTGTTAAATAGATACCTCTAGTTCTACATAAGAGGGGAAACATCCATTCCACATGCACCCGTTACATCCCTTCAGGATTTTAGGTGTTTCACACAAGACACTTAAACTCCAGCAGATACAAGCCTAGCATTTCTGACCTACCCTCACAGGACAACCTGCTAATTCCAGGTATTAGTCTTTTTTCCCTTTATTCATTCACGGGATGAGGGCATCGCTGGCTAGGCAGCATTTATTGTCCATCCCTAATTGCCCAGAGGGCAGTTATGAGTCAACCACATTGCTGTGGGTCTGGAGTCATGTGTTGGTCAGACCAGGTAAGGACGGAAGTTTTCTTCCCTAAAGGACATTAGTGAACCAGATGGGTTTTTCCCAACAATTGGCAATGGGTTCACGGTCATCATTAGACTATTAATTCCAGATTTTTATTGAATTCAAATTCCACCATCTGCCATGGCAGGATTCGAACCCAGGGCCCCAGAACTTTACTGGGTCTGTGGATTAACAGTCCAGAGATAATACCACCAGACCATTGCCTCCCCATCAAAGGCATGTGACCTGAAGTTGGACGCATGGTGGTGGTAGCAGCATCTTTAGAGAAAATGGTGCTGACGAGGTTGATGTTTCTCTATGTCTGTGTTTTGATCGTTTTAATTCCCATGGTTATTCAGCCCCCATAGTCTGGCAGATCTTCTCTGAACTGTTTCCAATGCATTTACATCTTTCCTTAAATATAGAGGCCAATATTTACCACAGTACTCTTTAGCAGTCTTATTACTGCCTTCCATAACTGAAGCACAACCTTCCTTCAATTACCCTCACAATAAAAGATACCATTCTATTAGCTTTTCTAATTACTTGCTGTACCTGCATACTAACTTTTTGTGATTCATGCATCAGGATGCCCAGATCCATCTGCACGTCAGAGCTCTGCAATTTCTCACCATTGAGATAACATGTTTCCTTTTTATTCTCCTTACAAATGTGGAACATTTCACATTTTCCCACATTAGTTGAAAGATTGTTGCCCATTCACTTGACCCATCTATTCTATATTCATTTATAGCGTTTTTCATGTTACTTTCCTATCCATTTCTGCATTTCTTCATCAAACTCATCAATATAAATTATAAAAAGCTGAGACTCCAGTCTTGATCACTGCAGCACACCACTTGTTACAGCTTGCAAGCCAGAAAATGACACAAAATAGTCAGCTAAAAGAGTTATAGAGTCATACAGCACAGAAACAGAACTTTGAATCTAAGCCAAACATAATCCCAAACTAAACTAGCCTGCTCCTGTCACATATCCCTCCAAACCTTTCCTACTCATGTACTTATCCAAATGTCTTTTAAACATTGTAATTGTACCTACATCCACCACTTTCTCGGGAAGTTCATTCCACACCCTGAGGAAGGGTCACCAGACCCGAAACGTTAACTCTGATGCTTTCTTCACAGATGCTGCCAGACCTGCTGAGCTTTCCCACCAACTTCTGTTTTTGTTCATAACATAACATTGGTTGTTTCATTACAGATGGAGCTATTCTCACTTCGCATGAGCAGTGACTTGCTTCTGACCAACATTAACAGCTGTGTTACAGCATTGTAAAAGAATGGTCACTTTAGTTTGAGCTCCAAATACTGTACAAGGCATACACAGTCAAGAGTGACAGCAGAATTGGAATGGAGTGTAAGTGGGTAATGTTTTGAATGGCCAACATCTCAAAGTGATGTCTCTCCACTGAACTAAACAGGGCTTCAAGATTGCTTTGGAAAGTAAAAATAATTAAAACCAAAATATGAACCAGTGCTTTAAAGAATGCAGTAACCAGCACAAGGCATTACACAGAGCAACTTCAAGTCTTTGAGAATGAAACATAACTTTCTACCTTGTATACTTGCCTTGATTAACTCAAGCAAAAAAATAAAGAAACAGAACAATAGCAGAGGTTAGTTAAGTAGCTGGCAGCGGTGTTAATAAAAGCAACTAATCAAAACTTCTGTCAAAGAAACACATGCAGCATTAATATATCAATGTCATAAGCAAGCACATATAAAATTGCAACATTTATAGTTAGGGCAAGTGATTTTAACGCGGCCCATCTTACTGTACACTTACCGTGCAGTGAGATATTTGCCATCCATGTCCAAATTTTGCTTTACAACATCGCAGTGAGAGTGAAAATGTTGGTTTCTTGAGCAAGTCTCAGTAATCACAAATCACTTGCCCAACTGAGCTTCTACCAAAGCTAACACAAGCAGCATTTTGTTTTTATTGGAGTGGAAACAAAAACCATACTAAGAAAAAATGTTGCACACCAGTTAGACATGATATGAAAAAGCATGTTACACTCACAAAATCCACGTCCCTTTTTAATTATTGCATTTTAAAAGAATTTCGTGGAGGTCTGGTGTATGCATACGAAGGAGCAGGGACTTTGTAATTTTGCAGTTGTACAGAGCCCTGGTGTGACCAGACCTTTGTTTTCCTTTATTCATTCACAGGATGAGGGCATCACTGGCTAGGCACCATTTATTATCCATCCCGAATTGCCCAAGGACAGTTAAGAGTCAACCACATTGCCATGTCGTCTGGAGTCACATGTAGGCCAGACCAGGTAAGAACTGCAGTTTCCTTCGCTCAAGGACACTAGTGGTCAGCATTAGACTCTTAATTCCAGACACCTATTAAATTCAAATTCCACCTTTTGCTGCTGCAGGAGTCAAACCCAGGTCCCCAGAACATTAGAGATAACAAGGTGTAGAGCTGGATGAACACAGCAGGCCAAGCAGCATCAGAGGAGCAGGAAGGCTGACGTTTCGGGCCTAGCCCCTTCTTCAGAAACATTATCTGGATCTCATGTTTAACGGTCCAGTGATAATGCCACTAGGCCATTGACTCGCCCTGCAGTGGCACGTGCAGTTTTGTTCTCCGTATCTGAAGAGGGATGTTCTGGCTATGGAGGGAGTGCAACAAAGGTTTTGCCAGACTATTTCCTGGGATGGCCAGGCTGACGAATGAACAGAGACTCTTTTATTCATTTTTTTATTCATTAACAGGATGAGGACATCGCTGGCTAGGCCAGCATTTATTGCCCATCCCTAATTGCCCCGAGGGCAGTTGAGAGTCAACAACATTGCTGTGGGTCTGGAGTCACATGTAGGCCAGACTAGGTAAGGATGGCGGTTTCCTTCCCTAAAGGACATTAGTGACTGATTGGGAGGGATTATATTCACTGGAGTTTAGAAGAATGATGGGCTTTCACATCGAAACCTATAAAACTGCAACAGG